AATTTGGTTTGACCTTCTCAACCAAACATGGTAAAAACCTCAATAAGGAGGCAAGTCGACCAGTGGGTCTTTAGACCTCCTTCAAGTTGCTTTGACTTTTCATGTTGAGGACAACCCAACATTTATTTGGGTTAGCCTCAATTCCCTTTGCTATGAACCCCAAGAACTTGCCACACCTATGCCGAATACACACTTTTCAAGGTTTAGTCGCATATCAAGGTTCCTTACCTCTACAAACACCTAAACATGATACTCATCCATGTTGTTAGATTTGACTACCATGTAATCCACATATACCTCCAAGTTTTTGCAAATTTTTTTTCGAAACACTTTGTACATCAACTATTGGTAAGTAGCACATGCATTTTTTTAACTCAAATGACATCACATGACAACAAAAATTAGTCTCCTCAATAATGAAAGTTTTTTTTTTTGCCTTGTTTGGTGGATACATAGGGATTTGATTATATCCCAAATAGACATCCAATAAACTTAGCACTTGATTTCTAACAACCCCATCCACTAGTCGGTCTATGCTAGGTAAAGGATAGATGTCCTTTTGATATGCCTTATTGAGATCCATATAGTCAACACATATCCTCAGCTTCCCATTACTCTTCTTTGCCATTACCACATTCGCTAACCAGGTGGTATATTCAACCTCTTGAATAAACCTAGACGCTAATAATTTAGCAACCTTAGTTTTCACTACTACCTCTTTTTCTTCTCCTATTTTCCTTTTTTTTCTTAGGGACCGATCGAGCTTTTATACAAATATATAAGTGGTGGGAATTGAAGGCTAGATCAATGCCCGACTTTTCAAAATGTCAACCATGCAAAAAGTTTTGTATTAGCCCTTAGAACCACAATTAAAGAGGTTTCGTTGTCTTCATTGAGTTGGGTTCCAATGTTTATGCATTGTCCATCTTTAATCCCTAATTGGAATTTTTCTATTTCCTTAACCTGTTTCAAACAAGCTTCGTCTTTACATCAAGGGATCCAACTCAACCATATTAACTTGTCTTTGATCCCTTGATGAGGAGGCTTAGTCTATCGAGATTGAAGGGTTACTGGCCTAAACTTGGGCTAACCATAGGTGTCATCCTTAGACTGGCTACATAACATTCCCAAGTTGTCTTCTGATCAACATGTATTGTCATGATTTTTCTATCGAGAAAGGAAATTTCATAACTAGATGCGGAGTTGAGACGAAATTTCCAATGCATTCAAGGATGGTCTACTGAGTATAATATTGTAGAATGTATTAGCGTTGACCAATATGTAGCGAAGCCAACTGTCCTCCTTCTTTTTCTCCATCATCAAAGGTGGTAAGCAAGTCTATATATCCTCGGGTATCAACTCATTCTCTCGAGAAATTGACAAGTTGATCCTTATAAGGCTTAATATTGGATTTAAGAATTTGAAGCTGTTAAAAAGTTGACATGTACAGAATATCAGTCAAACTACCCTAATTCATTAGGGTTTTCATCACTGCAAAGTTAGCCATTTCCTTGATCCTCCCTAGAATGTTTTTGGAACTCAGTCAGTTCCTCCATTTTCATGTACTTAGTAGGCCTTCTTTGGAGCTCCTCCATGGATAAGGCTAACTTTTTGTATAAACTATCCAAGAGGGAACTGACTTTAAGGTCAACAACATCTTATGCAAGGAAACCTTTTCGGCTAGGTTAGGAATTTCAAAAGCTATTTTCCCAAACCTATCCATAAAGAGCCTAAAAGATTCATCCTTTTGTTGTTTGACACTGATAAGGGTTTTTGAAGTCATAGCATGTGGTCAGCTGGTGCCAAACTACGTGGTGAACTAAGAAACAAGCACCTGAAAAGAGTTCACCGATCGAGATGGTAAATGAGTGAACCATCTCAAAGTTGCACCCTTCAATAAAATGGGAAATAAGTGACACATTACTACATCGACATTAGTAAGCATACTAACTTGGGAGACATACACTACAAGAATGTGGGTTATTAGTGTCGGCTTTTAACCGACTCTAACTTAAAAAAGCTGACTCTATCATACAATTAGCGTTGGCTCTGCGTCAACATAATGGCCTTCATTAAATTTGTTGACACTAAATATATTGTGTCGGCCTGACAAACGGACACCTCATAGAGACGGCCAAACTGACTCTTAGTTATCATTAAAATATGTCGCGTTGCTTTTAAACATTAAATCAATTTTATTTAGCGTCAGCCATTGAGACAATAAATTACAATATTTTTAAAATTAAAATTAGTTAGTGTCGGCATTGTTGACAGTAAATAATATTTTTTTTAAAATGTATATTTTTAGTGTTAACAAAGCCGACTCTAACATAATCATTTATTTATTATTATTATTATTTTGTCCGCTTAGTTGACGCTTAAAGTTAGTTATATTAGTTGGTTAAATTCATAAAATAAGATTTTTGTGGGCTAAGTCGACACTAAATTTTTTATTTTTTTTTTAGAGTCAACCTAATAAGGGCTTGGCTGACGCTATGAGTAGTGTATTTTTTAATTTTAGAGTCAGCTTAATAAGGGCTTGCAGTTTTTTTTTTTTTAATTTAATGTGTTAACCTTTGTTGTGTTTGGCTCATCATTCTTTAGTATCAGCCAATGCACATCAACAACCAGTGAGCATTTCTGTGTTGGAATACAGTGAGGTACAATATACAAAATAAGGAATTACACATTCAAACTTATCACATCTATTGATCTGTATGTAAGCTAATTCTTTTCCATCTTATAACATTATTTTTAAGATCGTTATAGTATATGAATGCAAATTTTGAAGAATTATTCTCATGTTTGAAACGACATATAGCTATGAACTAAGAAAAACATTCAGTTTATATGCCACAATACAACTACTAAGTACCAGAATAAATAAGCAGTGTTATAAGCAAACGATCATTGTTCTCTAAATCTAAGATCCATCAGATTTGTTATTTTATGGCCCCATAACCCGTACAAAATAAAAAATGAAAAAAAATTGAAAAATGGACATTTGACAATAAAACTAACAAGAAACAATTATTATCACAGAACATTGCACAAGCACAAACTGTCTCACCAACTTATTAAATAAACTGTCTCACCAACTAATTAAAATTGGATGGACAATAATCAAATCATAAAAAATAACCATATAACAAAAGTAACTTAAAGCGAGTAAATTAAAAGAAAAGGAAAATATATCCCAGCTATTCATTAGGAAACTGCAATAATATTATGGTACCTAAGTGATTGCATCAGGACCAAAAGGTAATCCATTTTTAGGAATAACACTAAATATCCGCTCAGCAACAGCTAGAAATATTTCCTCCAAAATGTCGCGCAGAAGTATTGAACTTGCAGATAAGTTGATTTAGTAACAAAAGAAAGCTAACCATTTGCTTTGGCTGAAATAAAATATAAATAACATATTACACAGTTTTATCTTCAACCAACACCAAAGGAAACAACCAAATCAGGTGTAAAACATGTATATCACTTCATGTTGAAATTGTTTTAGATATAGAGGAAGATAGAATATTTACATTACTCAAATATGAACATATATTGAACATTTCCATATATTCTAATAGCCACCCTTAAGCTAAAGGTTACACATGTAGTTTGAGCGCATAGCATTCTAAACATTACTATTAGCTACATGAAATTAAAGTACCAAAACTAATCAACTTCTGATTTCTCAAAATACCAAAACTAATCAACTTCTGATTTCTCTTCCAGGATATTATCTTCAGCTGTTTTTCCTTGCAGCAGAAGAACCAAGTTTTGGTTTGGCAGCATTAATAGTAGTCCCAAGACCTACAATCATAAATGAAAAATATGAGTTTGCAGTTTTTACTACCATTATCAAGAAGATTTTCAATGGAAGGTGATTTGAAAACACAAGTACACAATGGAAACCTAACTCTAAAGAAACTTGCTAGGACTAATAGCAAATTATGAACACAATAAGGTAAAAGAAAAAGCACATCTAGGTAGGCACAAAAAGAGACAAACCGAGAGCAAAATTAATGAACAAAGAACTCAAAAACAAAAAAATTAGGTCAACATGTTATTCAAGGAATTTTGTGACATATAAGGACTACACACAAACTCTAAGACAAAACAAGATTAAGAACCAAAAAATCTAATGCATATGCATGAGGTCCAATCACGGACACATACAAGGAATGGAGAGACTCAAAATAAAATCAAAAATTAGCACAAGCAAATAGTTCCTAAACAAGTTGATTGAGGAATAAAATCAAGAACAATCAACCAATGGATCTATGAACACAAGAACATCAACAATATAGATCCAAACATTGAAACTCAAATTAAGACAAGACAAACACAAGAACAGAAGAACGCAGACACAAAAATGAAGAACACTTATCTCCTTGAAGACCTTGCTCTTGATACCAAAAATGATTGAGAAGATTAGGAGGAGTGAAGAATGTTCTTCTCCTTAGCTCTCCTTATGCACGGATCTTCTTCAAGGAAATGGAGTCCGAAACTTTGAACACTTGATGGAGGAAGATTTACAGATTGGAAGAAGGATTAAGCCTTGGATGGAAGCATCCAAGCTCAAGGTGCAAGGGAAGGCTCACTTCAAAGAGGAGGAAACCTAGTAGGGTTCCTAAGGAAGTTCACTTTCTCTCACGGAGACTTTGATAGGAAACTTGGCAAAAGGCTCTCAAATTTCATATAATGATCAAAATGATACAAAAGACTAAGGAGGTAGCATATATAGCATCCAGAATTGGCTCACACTTGGCGCCAATGTGCTAGTCCAAGGTGGCGCCAAGTTTTTGAATTCAAATTTGAATTTGAATTCATAAACTTAACTCACCTATAGGATCCGGTAACATGAGTGCTTAGTGTTCATTTAGGTGGAATTTGATTAGCATTTAGGGTTGAATTTGTGTCACACTTGTTCAGCCAAGGTGGCGCAAACAATGTGACTCTAAATTCAACTTAAATGCAAATCAAATTTAACCTAATGTTGCCTAATTCTCAACGTTTAATAATTCCTCCTTAAAACCTAATCTAATGACCTTCAATTTCATTTGCTCCTCTAACTTTGCATACTTCTCATTTACAGCATCAGCTCGTGCAGTCGCTGCATCAGCTCGTGCAGTTGCTGCATCAGCTCGCTCAGTTGCATGTTGAACCTCTTGGCGTAATGCCTCTGTCTCAGCAGAATGGTGATGTGTATGACTAGTAGCCTGAACAAATAAAGAGACCTGTGTAAGAGAGGACACGCCCTGACGTATGTTAGAAGCTAGATCTCCCGTGCCATAACATCGACCCCTACTCTTGCCTCCTGCTGCTTCCTTCCAACACTGAATCTTTTTCACCCCATTTACAGGTAATTGACTGTTGGACCCCTCAGCACCCTCCAACTGAATCACTCTCAACCGCTCGTGATATTTTTCCTAGTCAATTATAATGCATGTCAGGCATTAGAAATATGTAAGTTTAAAAATTGAAATTGTAATGAAATTATTTTTTGTATAAGGTACATATGTATCACGAGCACGGTCATCAACCCAGCTACCAGTTTTCTTTGTGTGAGTGGCCACAAATAGCTCATCCGGATCTAGAGGTCGACCATATTTACGCTCCTTTAAGAAATGTAAATAAATATAAGCAATATTTTATATAATGTCATTATATATGGGAATTTACACAAGTCATGAACAATACTTACTAGGCCTAGCGCAACCTCAAGATGAGACTTACGTCCCGTTGTGTGCAATGCTCCACCTCTAGTAGAAGCCCGATTATTTTTATTTCGGGTAGATTTTTCTTTGAATTTGTTGCTGTCCCAATACTTAAGAAGATCATCCCAAGCTTGTTCTCCTATCCAATGTGGCCTAACCCCTTTACACCTTGCTTTGGTAAGCATATCACGAAGGCGTTTTTTGACTTTCTTTGCATACACCTTTCTAATCTCCCATTCGTGATGTGGTGCCCAAGTAATTCTTGCCTAAAACAAATAAAGAAAATAAGTATCAATTTCATCAAAATATATTAATAAATATTTAAATACATAAAAAATTAACATATAGTCACCGTGAATTCTGTCCACCATTTGACTTGCACATCCTCTGGAACAACATCATAACAATGATAAGGACCCCTAAATTGTGACTTAATTGCATGACCAATTGCCGCAATAGGGTGAGTATTAGGGATCCATCTGTAAAATATTCAAATCTAATGTTAAGCATTAAGTTCATGAATAAAACCATAAAAGGCATAAACATTAAAAATCAAATTGCTATTAAACATACCCATTTGCCATAGGTCGGATGATGACTCTACCATCACTATCACATTCCACTATCTCCTCAATTTGGATGTTCTCTTTCCTTATATGAGCCTCCACCTCTATATCCTCATCTCCCTCAACATTATGAGGATCCTCTGCTCGAGGAATATCGGCAAGATGAACTAGTGGGGGTTGGGTGGCATAAGATGATGGAGTAGGGGTGCCCTGAACTATGGGAGTATGGGGTGGAGGAGTAGGTTGAAGTAGTGGAGGTTGGGTGGCATAGGATGATGGAATACGGGGGGGAGTATGGGGGGGAGGAGGAGGTTGAACTAGTGGAGGTTGGGTGGCATAGGATGATGGAATAGGGGTGGGATCAATTATGGGAGTGTGAGGTGGAAGAATAGTAGTGGACTAATCAATTATGGGAGTTTTGGACTATGACAAAACTTGCATTCAGTTAAATCTTTGTCCTCTTTGTAATACAACATACACCCATCCACGCAACAATCAATCTTTTCAGCTTTCAACCCCAATTACGACACCAACTTTTTTGCTTCATAATAGTTCTTTGGTATGCAATTATTTTTTGGAGCTACATCAACTAACATTTGTATAAAATAATCTAAACATTTTTCAGGGGCATGCCAATTGGTTCTAGCTGCCAAAAGCCTTACAGCAATTGATAATTTGGATTCAGTTGCTTCTTCGTATATTGGTTGGTTCGCAAAGGCTAGCATGTCATAAAATCTTTGGGCTTCTGGGTTCGGAGACTCATTGTCCATATCTGCATTGATATGTGATACATCACCCATGTGTGTGTGTGCATCATACACCATTCGAGTCACAGATTCAAATTGATTCTCATAACCTATAGATGAAGAGTTACTAGATGGCCGAAATTCTAAATTTGAGACATTTGGCCCATCTTCTCCGTGTTCAATCCAGGCCCAATAGTTTGGTTTAAACCCATGTCTGATTGCAAGATTTGTGATGATTGTTGTGATTGCGAATTCTGACATGATGATGATGTGAGATTGATAAAGTTATGATACATTGAAATGTTTATGAATATTTTGTTAAGTATCGAGTTATAATGAGATGATATGTTGTGTGTTTGTATGTACTTTACATATAGATGTTTTCTTTTCTCACCGTACAATTTTGAGGATGTTTTAGGTGAGGAAGATCCTGTTGCGAGTGGCATCTAGAATGCCAACAGTTAAATTGGGGGTATGCTCTGTTATTGTGACATCGGGGTAGAGGACTTTTAAGACAGAACTTTTATATGGATTTGGAATTGTAAATATCATTTTGAAAATAATTTATAAACTTTTGTGTTTCATTTTCTAAATCTTTAATATTGTGGTTATTGAAGAACGATTTTTAAAGTTTCTCATGTGAACCCTTTTTACCAAAATTTAAAAAATTATTTGTAAAGTTACAGTATATGTGTTGGGGTAGTAAGGGTGTCACAATTCCCCCTTTAGAGAGGTCTGGTTGGTCTAATTACCAAGATTTTTCCTTCGCTTGCTTGGATATCGACATTTCGGAAGATCATGTATAGAGTAGGACCACTCAGACTTTCTTTTTTGAGGTCTATTGTCGATTCATACCCCAAAACTCTTCATCCTAATTTGTCTACGTAGTCTGGCAATTTCGTTATTCCTTGGGCCTCCTTACCAAGTCCTTATCTTGGTCGGTAGTCGCTTTTGAACAAAATTTGCGCAACCAAGTTCCTCTTTCTTGAGATCTTCTCAATATGGATGACTTCTAATGCTTGGAAAGCAGTCTCTAAGGCTTCCTCTGCCACATCCACATATAGGATAGTTAATGGTTTGTTGATGATCATTTCCTCCTCTGCTTGCACAATCACCAACTTATCATTAACCACGAACTTGATCTTGTAATGTATTGTGGAGGGTATCGCCTTTGCCTGGTGTATCCATGGCCTTCCGAGAAGACAGTTATAAGCGGGAGCGATATCCATTACTTGGAATTCCACATTGAAAATGGTAGGCCCTACTTGAATAGGTAAAGTGATCTCTCCCATAACTTCTCTTCGGGATCCATTGAAAGCTCGAATGATCATATTGCTTGGTCGCATCTGGTCCTCTTTGATTGATAATTTGTCGAGAGTACTCTTAGGTAGCACGTTTAAAAAGGACTCATTGTCTACCAAAACCTTAGCGATGAGAAACTCCTTACATTTTACAGAGATATGTAAGGGCTTGTTATGGTTGAGTCGTCCATTTAGTATCTCATTATCTGTGAAAGTTAAGTGATCATTAACTATGATGTGGCTAACAATCCCTTCAAACTTATCTTGGGAGATATGGTGAGTGACGTAGGCTTCGTTTAAGACCTTTAATAGAGCCTTTTGGTGTGGCTCTAAGCTCATGATTGTCACAACCCGAAAATTTCCGATCTTGCAAACTATGGTTTAGACATCCTTTGAAAATCTCATCAATTAAAGAATGCTCGGATACCAGACTAATCCTTAATCAATGATTTTAAAAATAGGTTCATGGAGTCGCCACAAATATTTTACTCAAAACATTAGAAAAAGAAAAGGTTTTTTAAGGTCCAATAATGGCCTTGATAACCAGAATTAGATTTGGGGGTCGATTACGTGTAGAGAAGGTATTAAGCACCCCTACAACGCCCTAAATCGGTACCCTATGATGAAATTAACACGATAAGAATTAATAAATTAAATATTGAATCCCCTTTATTAATGTTTATTCACATGCATAAAATATAAATTAAACGATTAACCCTAAAATATCTACATTATGACGTTTATTATAACAAAAAAAAATAAAGATGAGAAATAAAAGGGAGAGAAGAAGATTGATTGAAATACCTCTTGAACGAGTTTCATTGAATCTTCAAATATGGAGAAGGTGCTTTTTGGCGACCTTTCACACTACTGTATGCCTCACAAATCTCAAGAAATACAATAGGAGGGAGAGAGAAGATAGAGATGCGACACAAATCTCAAGAAATATAATAGAAGGGAGAGAGATAGAGAATTTTTGTGCTCAAAGGAATCTTATTCGAAATTTGTCTGGTCGCCCATGAGAACTATGCCCGAGACTTCTATTTATAGGAATCAAAAGGGGGCCAGAACAGCCCGTTCCGGATTCGGAATGGCCCATTCTGGGCCAATCATTATGTGCTAATTACGCACCCTAGAATAACCCGTTCTGAAACCAGAACGCCCCGTTCCAAAGTGGAAATTCACACAAAGTTGTCCTTTCTAGAATGACCCATTCCAAATTTGACTTGTTTGGAACGGCCCGTTCTGGAATTGGAACGACCCATTCCAGCCTAGGAATTTTTAGGTGTTTTAGTCACGTTGGAACAGCCCATTCTGGTATTGGAACGGCCCGTTTCAATCTTTGAACAGCCCGTTTTGGGGTTGGAAACTGCCCGTTCCTATCCTGGAACAGCCTGTTCTAGGCTACTAAAACCACCTTATTTGGCCTTTAGGCCTTCTGATGTACTGTCTTGTTGTTTGCCTGCTTCGGGAGCTCCTTCCCTTCATAACGGAGGTCCATTTCCTTGTTTGTGTGCCCCTAGACGAAATTAGGTGTCTACAGTTGCCCCTCTTTAGTTGTCCTTTGGAGTAGCTATGTGTTGTTTTTTCAAAGGCAAGTAAAGATATAGACATTTCGTCCGGGACTCCTCCTTGTCTCTTTGGTGTTGGCACTTCTACATTCCTTCTCTTAGATAGGTGTATTTGCTCGTGTCCTCGCCCTTTAGAGCAGTTGAGTGTTGGTTGCATACTCTATTGGGTAACAAGGTTGACGAACTGTACACCTGATCTTCGGTCTTGATACATTGAAATGTTTATGAATATTTTGTTAAGTATCGAGTTATAATGAGATGATATGTTGTGTGTTTGTATGTACTTTACATATAGATGTTTTCTTTTCTCACCGTACAATTTTGAGGATGTTTTAGGTGAGGAAGATCCTGTTGCGAGTGGCATCTAGAATGCCAACAGTTAAATTGGGGGTATGCTCTGTTATTGTGACATCGGGGTAGAGGACTTTTAAGACAGAACTTTTATATGGATTTGGAATTGTAAATATCATTTATAATTTGGGTGTAAGTGCTATGTGTTTGGGATTTGGGTGTAAATTTCATAGGGTGTTTTCTTTAAAGTGAAAAATACCTTTGTTATTAAATTTTCTTTACAATGGAAGGAAGCCTAATATTTCATATTTTAGAGTGTTTGGGTGTAAGTGCTATGTGTTGAACAATGGGAAAGAGCAACTTGGAAAATTTAATGCAAAGGCTGATGAAGCAATCTTTCTAGGATACTCAACAAATAGCAAAGCTTATAGAATTTATAATAAGAGAACTCTAGTTGTTGAAGAATCTGTCCATGTGGTATTTGATGAGACCAATAAACAAGAGACAAGGCAAACTGAAATTGAAGA